AGAAAATTCAAAGAAGCCGCATATATGTTGTCCAACATTGGAATGACCTATAAATAGTCAGATCTCGAAGGAATAAGGCCAGTTATCACCCGAAGACGATTGTGGATACTAACAATCGAAACGTCGTGAAGTAACTTGGTTTGGAATCTTTTTTAATTTCCATCTCGTGTTAATACTTCAATTTTTTTTTGGTTATTGCTTGTATTTTATTTCATTGCAATTTCAGTTTTTTTGATTGATATAATTATTATTTTTCAGCTAATCTTTTTTAATTTTTTACAGATTCTTTCAGGAATTTCAAATCAATTTACATTATATTAGACAATGGGAGTCCGAAATAATGAAATTCACCACGAAACATTGTCAATCACCTTCAAACTCAACTGTAACATATTATTATGTGGAAACACTCCTTTGGCTCAGTGGTTACTGATATCACTAAAAAGTAATCCGTCTAATATTTGAAATCAAGCGCACTAACTGAATGAGTTAGTGAAAATAGCTTGTATTAATATCATGAGATGCGTCTAGTTCATAAAAAATAAACTATACGATTTCACTAAGAATGAGGATAATTATAGGTATACAATAAGACACGGTGTACTTTCACGAATCCCCCATCATGAAACCAACTTCATGAAAAGGTCCTTTCTATACATGTATCCGATTTCACAAAAAATCACCTAATGTTATCAAACAATAAAAAATATTGATTATATATCCAGTATTAAACAAGTCAGTGAATGTTATAACATCAATTACTATTCAAATAGGTCAAACAATTCAATTTGCCTCAATATATCCCTTGAACTGTTGTGGAAAGTCGTCCTGGTTTCGTTCAGGTTGGAGCCTGGCTCCCTTAACCTTTCAACTGATGTTTGTCAGAGGGACAAATGGGTCATTACTGATGGTGGGATGGCGACATGAATGTCCTCAGACATCAGTGCCGTCCTTCACGGTATACCCCTACCTGGCTGGGGTATATGGTGTTCATCCTTTGTTCATCCTTGTTCATCCTTTAAAAAAGATTGTTCATCCTTTAACAGAGAACATAGGGGCCTCATTCGATAGAGTGTCGGGACCTTCTATATCGTCTACAGCATAATTCATAACTTCTTTAACTAAAGGATTTTCATGAGTTTCTGCGCAATCAAAAACTCGCTGATTTCTCGACTGAATGGACTGAGGAATGGAAGGCAGCTGCAAATCTCCGCGGATAGCCTCGTTCCGCACGAACAAAGGAGTATTCACAATCGTCCTTATTAACTTGTTTTGCGATCTCTCCAGAATGGATATATTAGAAGGTGCTTGCTTGTCTCCAGACGCCTGAAGCATACATGATGACAGGCTTGAACATCGTGTTGTAGATGGTAATTTTATTTTTAGGCTCATTTTAGATCTTCTGTTTATCAGAGGGTACAGACTATCCGGCCCTCGATCCTTGTTTTAACTGATATAATGTGGGGGTTCCAGGTGAGTCTGCGGTCTATAAGAAGGCCGAGGTACTTTACCCACGCTTGCCAGTTGATCTCCCTTCCAGAGACCCTCACTTTCCTAGCCGGAGAAGATGTTCTTCCCATGTTATCGTCTGAGTTTTTTCTGGATTCATTCGGATCTTCCACTCGAGGTACCAGCGCTCGAGGTCGTCCAATGCACGTTGGATATAGACGATCCCGAGTTCCCGTCCCATGGAAGATGAGAGAAGAGCCGTGTCATCGGCGTAGAGAGACATCTTCACACGCTCGAACCTTGGGAGGTCGCTGGTTTAGAGTGAGTATAACGTAGGAGAGAGCACCCCAGCGAGGATCTGTCTGTCGTCAGACAGGATCAGTCCCCGAGGCAGGTCGAACGCGTCTAGTTTGTGTAGAAGGCCTTCGTGCCAAACACGGTCGAAGGCCTTTGAGATGCCAAAAAGGACATCTTTGAACTGTTATGGGTATCAACTTGACGACTGAGTTACAAATAATGGGAACTATTTCGATATATGACAATCGTCCTTATTAACTTGTTTTACGATCTCTCCAGAATGGAGATATTAGAAGGTGCTTGCTTGTCTCCAGACGCCTGAAGCATACATGTTGACAGGCTTGAACATCGTGTTGTAGATGGTAATTTTATTTTTAGGCTCATTTTAGATCTTCTGTTTATCAGAGGGTACAGACTATCCGGCCCTCGATCCTTGTTTCAACTGATATAATGTGGGGGTTCCAGGTGAGTCTGCGGTCTATAAGAAGGCCGAGGTACTTTACCCACGCTTGCCAGTTGATCTCCCTTCCAGGGATCCTCACTTTCCTAGCCGGAGAAGATGTTCTTCCCATGTGATCGTCTGAGTTTTTTCTGGATTCATTTGGATCTTCCACTCGAGGTACCAGCGCTCGAGGTCGTCCAATGCACGTTGAATATAGACGGTCCCGAGTTCCCGTCCCATGGAAGTTGAGAGAAGAGCCGTGTCATCGGCGTAGAGAGACACCTTCACACGCTCGAATCTTGGGAGGTCGCTGGTTTAGAGTGAGTATAACGTAGGAGAGAGCACAGCTCCCTGTGGCACCCCAGCGAGGATATGTCTGTCGTCAGACAGGATCAGTCCCCGAGGCAGGTCGAACGCGTCTAGTTTGTGTAGAAGGCCTTCGTGCCAAACACGGTCGAAGGCCTTTGAGGTGTCAAAAAGGACATCTTTGAACTTTTATGGGTATCAACTTGACGACTGAGTTACAAATAATGGGAATTATTTCGATATATGCTATTCAAATTGTATTTTATTTATATATCATTTGACTCATTCAAAATCATGAAGATACTATTGTCATTGTTATTATGATTATTGAAAAGCTATACAACTTATAGGTAATTAATATCTACCTTAAAAAACCAAATAGATGTGATATGACCTGAAATGAATAGTTCTCCTTAGTCAATCGCATTTAAAGCTAATGATTGTCATTTCTTTAAATTCAGCATCTACATTATGTTCGGATACTGACAGAGTGACAACAGAAACTCATGAAATTGTTATCTTTTAAGTATATTGCACACATAATTACGATGTCTTACTTTCTGTCAATATTCAAATAGGCTATAACACTGTTTCGATTTATTGACAAGACAAACACCTGAATTGACTCAAAATACAACTTGGTTATACCAAAACATCTATTGTAGAAAATACTGGCTGGTATCACTACTAGATTTATTTTTACAAGTACTATTATTTGAATTACGTTTTCTTGGCTTAGTAAAATACATTTTATTTACTTGCTTCTTGGTCAAAAAAATGTTTTTGAAACTGATTTTGAACCATTTAGACTTCTTCTTTAAGAAAAAAACAGAAGGAAAACCATGATTGGCCGGTGAGTTATTTCCATAGACAATGGCTTTTCTCTTCTGACCTTCGTGACAGAAATAAACCCGTCTCTCCAGAAGATTGCCATGTTTCAGAAGTATATCTCTTGGTTTTACGTAACAGCATTTTCGAAAATGATAAAAAAACACGATGAAAAGTTGCAGCTTCTTACTTCGACCCATGATAGATGCAGGTCTATACAAACCATCAGTACATTTGGCGAACACGAACTTATAATTAGGTGGAACAGTATAGTCTATCATCCTTTGTTTCCTGATGTATGTGCTGGAGTCATAACCAAATATTCCTTTTTTATATTTCTTGACTTTATTGACCAGTGATCGAAACCAATGCTGCCCCTTTTTTAATGTAGAGGCCTTCAAAGCGGGAAATTGCTTTTCATCCCCTCTGAAATTTTCCGGATTTGAGGTATTCCACATAGACATATTCCAGATAATTATTTCAGTTGAAACTTGAATTTGATTTAGTCAGGCCTCATTAGTGTTCAGACATTTCGTGTTCAGTTTTTTTGGGATAGTTCAGTTTCTTAATTTTTTTCAAGTCCTCATTTTGTTCACGGTGACATCGTGTTGACATTTGTCAAACATTGATATTGATTGATGCTCCCACAGTTTTCATAAAATCCGCGTTTGAACACATATATTTCATAATAAGGTGGATAGATATAATCTGCCAATATACAAAATATATTTTGAGGACGACCTAAATAGAGTTGACGACTCTCTTGTTTACCTGGACCGTTACTCTTGAGTTCCAGGAAGTAGAAATGTCAATAGGAAGTGCCAAAAATAGGAAGTGGCATTCTTGAACGATTTCACCTACTGAGAGATTTGATTTCACTTCCTACAGGTCATTGGTGTCAGGAGTAGAAAAGATAATCATATATAAAACTCAATTTCACAAAATTCCATTTTTCAAAAGAGATGTAGAAGAAACTATGGATGGGGACACCCTTCCTCCATTTTATCTAATTTGGTTGTGACTACTGTCTTCTTTCATACAAGGTTGTTTACCTATCAAACTACCCAGAAAAATAAATTGATATGCAAAAATTTCTTTTGTTTTATAAAGGCAAATCCTTTACACTATCAAAATATTCTTAATTATTTGTCAAATGAAATATTTGTTCAGTCCTCGTGTTCCACTCTTCATAAAAAGAGGATAGCTGTATAAAAAAATATTGACAGAGACATACCTTCATATGTCTACTTCTGTGACGAGATACTCGCCGGTCACTGTTTCTCATTATTAACAGTGAATGTTATAACATCAATTNTGTTTCAATATGGTGAAGTAGAAAGCCAAAACCTTCCTTTGCCAAAATTGATCTCTCTTAAAAATATACCCTTTCAGTTAAAAATATAGTGTTGTTTCGAAAATGTTTTTTTTAAATGTTGGTAACTCTCGTCAACTTTTTACTTAAAATCCATATTCCATGGAAACATATTTAAAATTAGGAGAACTGAAAGTGATGAAATTCAGTTCAGAGTTAGTTTGGAACAATTTCAAGTTTGACAACTGTCATTTCATTCGTTATCAAAATTTCCAATATATTCTGTTAAGGCATCAATAAAAGGAAGTGTAGGGTTATCAAGAGTTTTAGGAAACATCATATAATCTATAGATCTCTTCATTTCAGGACAATGTTTGATCCAATGATGCAAGAAGAAAAAATAAAAATGCACGAATGGAACACAATCTCCAAACCGAAATCGATAGATTGTGATGCAGCAAAAGAATGGATCCAAAAAAATACTAAAGTTGTTAAAGGTAAGTGCTTATTATTTTATGAACACTAGAATCATTTGTTGATTCAATTCCCTGAAATAATCCATTATATACAGTGAGAAAAGTATACCTAAAATTGAAAATATTCAAATATCTGCCATTTTTTTATCTACAGGTTCAACATCAATCACTTGGACTGTCGGTGACATTGCGAAAGCAGGATGTCTATTGAGTTCACCACCTATTCCAACTACATTTGAGGACGAACATGAAATGAGACGGGTCTACACTTTGATATATGACGTCTTTCGATGTGAGTTTTTCATTTCATTGATCAGGAACTTTCCATTCCTTAATAAATTAATCAAGAACAACTTATACATATTCAAACAAAATATTTTTTTATTTCAGATAAAAATGTATTGACTCAAGCACTGAATGATGTAAATTTCTTTCAGATATTTCCCAAAGTAAGTAACTGAAAAAACTATAGCGCAAAATACTATAGACTTTCTGAATTGAACTGATTTTTTTCTATGAAAAAGTTGATTTTTAAAAATAATAATTGAAATTACTACTATTTTCGTAATCGTTGCAATAGCCTGCAATAAACGATTTTCAATTCGGCAGTCGATGTCGAATCTTAACTTTGGAACAGACCGCCTTTGGGACCCTTGTTTATCTTTGATATTCACACAGTTTCACTATTTTTCGAGTTTGAAGACCGTCGATTCTTTGGAATTTCTTCCCGATGTTTCGTTGGCGCGAGTGGCTAGCTCCTTCAGGTTAATACATCCTGAGTTATCTCCGGAAGAAGAAATTTCAAAAATCGACGGCGTTCAAACCCGAAAAAAAGTGACACTGAAAACCTCGGCCGCGAAAGACTTAATCAATTTGTTTGATTGATATTCACTGAGTTTTCTAACGATCCGAAGTGAAGCAGTCAGATTGAGACTGCATGCTACCTTTTTTTCATTTGCTGAATTAATGATTATGACTTCAGTTAAAGCCTCAATCCTGTGTTTGTCTCATTCTATTTGTTTTAGTAGCATCTTGTTTTTTGAAATCCAGAAATTTTATTGTGCCCCAGAACATTTGAATCAGAGCTTCCTCAATGTATACAGATCAGTTTCAACTGCGTCGCATCGCTTACTCATTTGAGGAGCGATTTGAAGCACTTCAGCATTAATCCTTATCCAATCAAGTACTTTGAATGTATTGTGCATTTAATNTGTTGACCGCGATTTGTTTGATCAAACTCAGCTCCCTCTGGAAATTACTCTTAGATAGTGGAATATTCAATAGTCTATGAAGCATACTACTGAATGCAGCAACTTTATGATGGCAAGGGTGCGTGTAGGAATTATGTATGATAATGTCCGTGTAAGATGGTTTGGGGAAAAATGCAAATTCATGGTTATTGTTATTTTTCGTAATGGTTATGTCAAGGTAATTTTTTGAATAATTTACTTCCCTCTCAGTGGTGAATTTTTTCGACGGGTGGATGGAATTGACATATTCAACGAACTTGCCTAATTGCCTATCTGTAATGATTTCATTATTCACTAGTGATTAATGGATATCGTAATGCATAAAGAAACACATGCATTTTGAATATTTCATACAATAGTCGTGGACAAACTGTAATTTCTTTTTTAATTGAAAAAAATCGATGAGTTTCCGTAAAGTATCATATTTGGTCTAATACTTGCTACTTTCTATAGAAACACAGACACATTCATATTATCAAATCGATATACCAAATTTGAAACATCCATTCGAAATAAAAACACAGGGAAATAAGATTCCGTTTGAGAGTAAGAAATTGGGAAGCGGTCAATTACTTAAAATTAAGTTGATTCTATGTTATTTATTTGTAATCATCATATACCAATATATGAAGAAAATAAGTACTTCCTAACTATACCAAAATATTGGAAAGCCAATAAACTGAATAGCATTAGGACCATTACAAAGATCGTAATGGTTCTCAAAGAGCTTTGCGCCAAAATAGATAACGCGTGTCAAGCAATTGCTGAATCCATAGGAATACTGAAAATATATTTGTAGAATAATTAATAATAAACCGTCATCTGCACTCAAACAAATGAATGTCTTCTGCTGAAGGGTGGGAAGCTAGCTGTATAAGGAGTCAAAAAGGTTACGACTGATTAACGACTGAAGGTAGTACATGGAAGGTAGGAACTAACGGGACTTTCAGTCGAACACGTTCAAAAACCAAACTTACTCTATTTCACAAATAACCAATCTTCTATGATCCACTCATCAGACGTTAGCCTAAATATTCATTAACATAACTTATAAATAAATTTGTTATCATCTATGTAAGTTGGTAATGAGTTTGAACTTTATATTCCAATTTCGATGTAGTAGATGCAGTGATTTGATTATTTTTCCTCATTGTTGATAACTTTGTTGATTTCAGCTCATCTCATTAACTCCACATGTATGGCTACTTTTCTACGACCTTTATCACCGTTCATTCAAAAAAAGAGAAACAAAAGTTGCTAAACTAGCCTCGCAGCTTTTCGACACTTACGGACTCAGTTTCACGGAAAACGCCCTCTGGTGCCAAAAAATAAAGCTAGCTGCTTCAGTAGCAAGATTAAGGATAAAGCACAACGCATTATCACTTGGTGAGCTTTTACCACCCCATTTGAAGGATGAAAGAGTAACGGAGCAAGCCAAAAACAATCCGGTCACTTGCTGGGTCAATTCTTTGAAAATAAGGTGAGACTTTTTTGTACGGGGATTTTTAATTAAGGGTTTGGTAAATGTTAAGTAGACACTTACTATTGAAATTCATTTCAGCACTATCAAACGTGGTCTGAATAATGAAGTTTCCTAAAGATTTTTTGGATTTCTCATCCATCGACAATCAGCAAGTCAAAATAAGAAAAATTGTTAACCTCAACTCTGTATCACAAGAAAAACTGAATAAATCCTTGTACGAAATTTTACAAGATATGATGTAACGGTACCACTGAAATACAGTGTGTTCAAACTCGAATTGGCACTATTGCTAACTTCTTTATTATGGAAGATACGAGTTCGATCAAATTGAAGCACTAGTAATGTTTTTTTCGCTGATCAACATGGTGCTAACAGAAAAAGAATTGAACATTGCATTTTCAATTTATTTAAAAAAAATGTATTTTCATAAATGATGCATCTTGTATATTTCTACCTCGATTTATAGCCAACTTGATTCCAATCCAATCACTGTTCATAGTGGAATATTTTTTATTCTATATATAACAGACTGCAGAAATGTGCATACTTTTAATTTATAAATTTGGTATCCAGTGAATGCTTTAGTTTATATAGATTTCCAGTTGGTTCTAAGAAAAGTATATTTTCTTTCTTGAGGTTTCAAGTGGTGAATAAAGAGACTTAGTTATACTCTGAAGTTCTAGTGTTTAACTCATTTAATGATGATATTAAATTTATAATCGAAGAAGAAATAAATAGAAGCTTATATTGTTGATTAGAATTGATCAATGTATAATAATCTCAAAATAGTACAAAAAATCAAAAATTAGTAATAGACTATAGACTCATCAATTATCAGTCATACCATCCAATGAAAATGAAAATGATTACAATCAAATCTCTCAAGAGTAGAATTGAAAGGCTTTCACATCCAAATTCATCCAACCCATTTGATTAACAAATTATTCTTCATCAGTTCAAATAACATATTTCCTAGCTCATCGAAAATTCCAAATAATAATACTGCAAGAACACGCTCCTAAATTAACAAATGTATTAAAAAATGAAAACATCAAAATTGCCAAAATGAATATTTTTACCATATCAAAGTTACATAGTAAAATCAAAACTCATATAGAAAACAAAAATAAATCGAATATTATTTACAAAATTTCTTGTCAAAATTGTGAAAAGTCATATATTGGTCAGACATCTAGAACATTGATTAGTCATATCATCTCTCATAAGAGTGACTGTAGGAGAAATATTAGGTCATGTGCCTTGGCAGATCATGTTATTTAGTATGACCATAATATGTATTATGATAATACTAAAATTTCACATACTGAAAAGAATCTTTCCAAAAGCTAATTTTTAGAAATGCCCTGATGAATAATGAAGAACATGCGATGAATAAAAGATCAGACCTCAACAAATTCAGTAAAATTTAAACATTCATTTTGAAAAACCAAAAAGAAATTTTATCACCCTCTGTTCGAAATTCTCCTCCCTGATTTCAAAAATATTTCTGTCAGTTCGATCATTTCATTTCATCAATGTTTTTATTGTTTTTGTATAAATCCATTTCTCATTATTCTCACGATAGTAAGTAAGAAATGTTATCATGTGATTTGTATATATTTCAGTTGTCCTGAAGAAGGCAATAAACATTGTCGAAAGCTCGACGTATACCAAAGAGAATACTAAATAGTCGCTTCATTTAACTGGAACCTCAAGAAAGAATAAGTATACAGGGTGTTCGTTAAAGATGCGGCACTATTTCTTGGACTATTCTAAGGATATTTTGTCCTTAGATGATTTCTGATGGGGCGCTTTGTTTCGAAGATACGGACTGAAAAAGAATTTCGACAATAACAATGTATTACCAAAAATTATATGTAATGTTTCTTAATCTAAGAGAACTGTTGAAAATGACTTCCCCCCGCTCGGATGCAAGAATCCAATCTTTTCCTCATCGACTCCCGAACTCTTTCCAAAACACAGGATATCTTCGAAACAAAGCGGACTTGTAAGAAAACATCAAAGGATAAAATATCCTCAGGATAGTCCTAGGAACAGTCCCTTAATTTTTTGCCGCATGTTCAATAAACACCCTGTATATATTTGAATTTTTTTTTTCACGGACAGGAATATGTTGAAATGATTCTTCGGGTTTGTTCCGTGTGGTGTATTGTCATTCCCGATGGAAATGAATTTCGCAACGTTTCGACAAAATCACATTTGTCATCATCTGGTGATTTTTGTTAAGTGTTCGAAAGTCGTCTGACCCTACTCAGATGACTTCTTACTGTGTGGGTACAGTGATGGTACATAAATACCGTTCTTGATTACCTGAATTTGGTACCTGTATGTTTTGGTACCTCAGTTCTTCTTCTTCTCGATATGCCCTCTTCCCCCCCTCATATGAAAGTGGGCAAACCGTAGACACGTGTTTCTGGCTCTTTAGCCTTCGTCAGTACGGTACAGCCAAGTGTAAAGGATGGGCAACCCTTGGTTGCGAAAAAAAAGGGTCGAAAACAAAACAAGCGGATTCACCATCAGGGAGCCAACTGCGGTTTCGTGTCATCGTTGGAAGACCTCGTGATTACAAGGACTAACTCCGAACTTCGTCACGGGTGCAGCTATAGCAACCTACGTGACATCCGGGTCCAAGATAAATCAAACATGAAAGATGGGATATTGAGTGGATATGGTATTATCAATGAAGAGGAATTTTTTTGGACAAGCACTCATATGAAAGTGGGCAAACCGTAGACACGTGTTTCTGGCTATTTAGCCTTCGTCAGTACGGTACAGCCAAGTGTAAAGGATGAACAACACTTGGTTGCGAAAAAAAAGGGTCGAAAACAAAACAAGCGGATTCACCATCAAGGAGCCAACTGCGGTTTCGTGTCATCGTTGGAAGACCTCGTGATGACAAGGACTAACTCCTAACTTCGTCACGGGTGCAGCTATAGCAACCTGCGTGACATCCGGGTCCAAGATAAATCAAACATGAAAGATGGGATATTGAGTGGATATGGTATAATCAATGAAGAGGAATTTTTTGAACAAGCACTCATATGAAAGTGGGCAAACCGTAGACACGTGTTTCTGGCTATTAAGCCTTCGTCAGTACGGTACAGCCATATGTAAAGGATGGGCAACACTTGGTTGCGAAAAAAAGGGTCGAAAACAAAACAAGCGGATTCACCATCAGGGAGCCATCTGCGGTTTCGTGTCATCGTTGATGACACGAAACCTCTTCATTGATAATACCATATCGAAACCTCTTCATTGATGATACCATATCCACTCAATATCCCATCTTTCATGTTTGATTTATCTTGGACCCGGATGTCACGCAGGTTGCTATAGCTGCACCCGTGACGAAGTTGGGAGTTAATAACTGCCTGAACGCAGTTATTTTTATCAAGTACTTTTCTTAGTTATTCACATTTTGTTTTCAATCGAAGACCGCCTGCCCGGTACTGACGATGCCCGATAGACTGAAACAGCTGTCTACCGGTGGCTCTTGAAGTCAATATGGGAATGATCAGAATAGTACTTATCTATTTATCTTTCGATTTTCATGGAATTATTTTCCAGCAGCTTGACTGCGTTAACCTTTCTCGATTTCATATATACAGGGCGTAACTGAATAAGTGTAAAACATTTAAGAAGGTGCTTCCTCATCGAAAAAAATATAGGATCTTTCATATAGTGAAACTTCATTGGAGCATCTCTTGTTAAGATACAGTCCCTTAAAGAGGGTACATAAAATTTGTATAACAATTTTTTTGACAAGCACTAAAAAAGTTACAATATTGAAATCAACCTGACGTTTTGTACTACCAAAAAGACACTTAGCCAGAAATGTATTTGGTTTACCCCAAATGACTTCAGTTAAAGCCTCAATCCTGTGTTTGTCTCATTCTATTTGTTTTAGTAGCATCTTGTTTTTTGAAATCCAGAAATTTTATTGTGCCCCAGAACATTTGAATCAGAGCTTCCTCAATGTATACAGATCAGTTTCAACTGCGTCGCATCGCTTACTCATTTGAGGAGCGATTTGAAGCACTTCAGCATTAATCCTTATCCAATCAAGTACTTTGAATGTATTGTGCATTTAATATAAATCAATATGGCCCTCCATATCATGTAATTCAAGTGATTATTTGCGAAGATATTACATATTTAAAATGCAGGGACATAGCGGTTGCAGTAGTACCGGCCGGGGGGACGGCGGCGCGTACGTTGAAGGCCGTGCTTCGCCATATAGTATATGTATATTTAGTATCAGCATTACACCTGTGTGGAGCCGAGGCGGTTCGCTAGTAAACATTAAACAATAGATACTCATAAATATAGATAATAAACTCAGCCAAACGACTGCTCTTCTTCAGAGATCACGATTTGAGACATCAATCGGGCGAATTCGGAACGACATAAAAATTTTCTAAATAAAACAAAACTTTCAATTGATGAAATCAAATTACGTTTTATACATCAGGATATTTTGTTGAAAATTGATAAATTTAAACAGTTCTTTATTAAATCATCCTTCACGAAAGGTCCACTGATGATGAATATCTATAGGATATACATCAGCGGACTTTATGATGAACATTATGTGTTTCATCAAAAACATGTCCAAATATGCACATCTTATGAATATATTAATTGTATTTCCAAAAACATCTGTACGTATTAAAGACATAAATTCGATGCTACAGGGGTAATTTAAAGTATATCCAAAACCATATCATAATATATTCATTTCACTAGTAGAAATATTATTTAAAAAGTTATCGAAAATGGCATAATTCCGCGCACTAGATTCATTTTCTTCCAGAACATAATCCATATTTCACATGACATAACGTTTTAGTAGCAGAGTAATAATAACAAAGTTAGCGTGATTAAATTAATGGCTTCTCTTAATAATCTCTTGTCTAATTCCGCGACTGAAATGGCAAATAATGCACCTACAAAATTTAGCAAACCGTTCAAACAAA